CCCCAAAACCCCAAAACCCCAAAACCCCAAAACCCCATGAAACTATTAACAAATTGAAACCGATCTATTTCAACCCTTTTGAAACTAAAATAAATGAATTCCAAATCTTTATAAAATGCAAAAAATAAGCATCTGCCTATCTTGATTCACTGATTTGGGAGTTATTAGAAGTATCACTGAAGTTCTGGAAGCTATGGGGAAATGAGCTAAGGGAAGTATGTAAGACTTACTATTCACTCTCTTTTCTTCTCTGATCAAGGAATCTGGAAATCAGACAGGAGGCCTTACCTAAGAATATCCAAGTTCTTCTGTTTAGAAGATTTTCCTTTGATTTTGAGTTTTTGCCTAAATGATCAGGTAAAGTTCTGGTTTAGAAATACTGATGTAAAAATCTTACTCTAGTTTTCCAGTTGCCTTATACTTCAGATACAGCTTCCTTGGAGACAAATACACTGGGCCTGAATTTTGGGCTTTGACGTAATTAAATTTCCGAGCACGAACAATTTTAGGAGTCGCTTTAGTTAAGCATAGCTTAATCATCTCATTTTTCTAGAGTTTCACTTAAAAGTAATACCTTTACAACCGGACTAAAGAGTTAGCACAAAGAATTACCTCTTGATGTCCTGGCCAATCCATCGGTTATTCTTCCGGAAGCTTCTCAAAGTTTTGAGATCCTGGTATTTCTCACTATTATTAACACTAAGAATTACTTTGTCTTTGAATTCGATGCGAAAATATTCTTGATTGTCCAAAAATGTTCACTCTTTGCATCCAACTCTAGAATTTAAAGCTTTGCAGTTACTCTTAATATCATCCATCGAGACTCTGGCCTGACTGAATTTGTTCTTCTTAGGCACAATGCTACTATTTTTAAGAGTTTTCGTTATTTTCTGAGCTGATTTCAATTCTGGAAATTCAGTAGCTACATGAATAAGTTTCAGAATTACTTCTCTCAGATGTAATCTGTTGTATAGCTTTACCATTGAACTCAGGTATTCTTGATAGCTTCTATATACAATCAGCTACATATTCCCTTAATAATAATTGAAAAGAAACAACGCTTACGAAATTATTTGTGTTAGGCTCTGCTATTCTAGAATTATTTCGAGTGAGAGAACTATGCTTGGCTCTTGCAAATCTGAGGTTTGGCCGAGGGAGCACATTTTTAGCATAGAATTGGGAGACCTTGTCTCCTATAAGTCTTGTAATATCTCTTTGGTTGCCCGTTTTCATTTTTAGTTTATTCTTTTCAATAATCTTTTATATTGTGGGGTTTTGGGGTTTTGGGGTTTTGGGGTTTTGGGGTTTTGGGGTTTTGGGG